CATAGAAAAGACATTTCTAAAATCATTCTAGACAGTGAAATGTATGATAATTAGGTATTCATTTTCTCAAAATCAGTTAATAGACTTATTATAATATTATGCAGCAATAATATTTATGTAGAACATCCTGTGGAATCCTTGAATATAAATATACTTATATATCTATAAACTTTTTGCTCGAAATAGTTTAAATATTAGTGAACAATGGATTATTGCCCGTCGGTCAATTGCTGTGTCGGAATTTTGTATGATTCATACATGCGTCTATACAAATGGACCGTTTGCTTTTGATATCACAATATAATAAGATAAACTATAGCATTCGTTTGTTCGGTCTCTATTGAGTTGACAAAAACTATTGGAATATCATCAATCCTTTTTGTTCGTCAATCGTTTTGTCAAATTGTATTTTTATGCACAGTTATGCTTATCTCAGATTTCGTAATTGCCAAAAAATTTAATGAATAAAATTTATTAAATAATTTTTTATATCACTGACTTATGCCATTAGTTTCTATTTTGACATTTGAATGAACGTACCAAGATAATAAATATAATATTTTATATTGAGAAGATGAAGTTTGAAAGATTTTATCGCGTCGAGTCAGGCGATTTCGTATATCTATTTCGTAACTATCTTTACGTAAATATATCAAAAGTGCAAAATGTCAAGTCGTCCATGCAAGATGTTTTTACAGTTTTGATCAGATAAAAGTTCACAAAAACGCATTTTGTTTCTTGCGAGAGTCTTTTTTATTTTTTATTGTTTACGTGTTTAATAATCGAACGCTAATATTGAAATTTAATATTGAATTGATAGCAATTCAATATTAATTTTATTTAAAAATTACGTAGGCAAAATTTTTTTATATCGAGTCTGTCGGTTAAATATAGGAAGAAATGTACGGTCATTAAATAGAGTGGAAAAATGAGTATTAAGCGCAAAAATTGCTCTCTAATCGGAAGCTCATAAACTTAAATAGCTAATAATTTCATGACGAACAATAATTGCGTACGACTAACTTCAATACTTATTATTCAAAATTATGGTTCGAGTCCGAATTTAAAGAAGAATGGAAGTTTTGAGAAGTTGTGTATAAAGATATCGGAAAAATTCAGAGACGGTCGCTCATCATTCTTGTTCTCTACCAAGTTGTCTTCGTCGAAGGCCTGAATTCGCCATACAGTCGGGCACTTGTGTCTGCAGCGAGGTCACAGTAGCGTACAAAAGTCATGGTTCACGTAAACTGATATACGTTAAATCATCACCATCATCGTATCAAGAGTGATCGTTGCCGTCATCCTCTGCCACATCGCCCTCATTCACTGAATGCGTATATACAGAGTAAAGCGTATAATTTAAGTTATCCTTCTTTAGCAATTAAAACTAACGTTCCAAATTCTCAAAAGTATAATTAATAAAAAAATGTATTCTAATTAGTTCGTAAAGTCTTTTAGACATAAATTATCTAAGATGAAAAAAGTTGAATTTTTATTGGCTCAACAGTAAAGGGATAGGCTGATTGAGTTATGTGATCTCTGTGTATTGAAGTTATAATTTTGTGTCGATTGCAGTTATAATTAACATTACTTAATTAAGCACAATATATCTTCATTATATCCTTTATATCATATTTTAGTTCTGGGTAAATTGATTATCCTTTTCACATCGCATTTATTCTTTTGATTTTAATTCATGCGATACAAATTAGTTTGTATATATTTTGATAAAAAAAGTTGGATTAAAAGAATTTTGTGGAACGAAACTTCTTTACTCTGACTTATCAGTAGAATATTATTAAAAGAAATTTGTAATTTTTGACGTACTTAATTCTAAATCTAATAAAAAAAGTAATCATTAAAAATACTAATTACCGAATAAGCGTACTTTAATCTTTAAAATAACTAAATAACTGA